CCCGACCTGCGGGGCTTTAGGCTGGCAGGGAGAAAAACATGCAACAAAGCCCAGCAATGACCAGCAGACGGAAACGGAGATTTTCCTTTGCATGGTGCTGAGGGTTCCTCAACCACATGGCTGCCAACTTGGTCTGGCCCTGGCCTGGGCCAGAGGGGAGTCAGACGGCTGCTCTGGACTCTGGGCCTATGCCATTCAAAAAAATCAGTATGAACTCATCACACCTATTCAGAGAATGCTTCATGAGTAAGCAGGAAAGCAACAATAAATATGTAGATTTTCAGGTTTGTTTAGCAGCAGGGAAAGAGGAAATGTATGTGTCGCTGCAGCTGTTCTGGCCTTTTCATTACTCAGGACAAAGTCGGCTTCCCCAGGCACCAGAGAGAGAAGTGAAAAGGCGGCTCTTCCTGCCATCTTTAGACTCTCCCTTCTATCCATGTCCCTGGCGGACCCAAAGAGGCAGCTACTTCTCCCTTCACACCCAACCAACACAAACAAGGAAAGAAGCCAAGAGGAAGGAAGCGGTCTGGCTTCTCTGTAAGGCTGAGGGGCACTTCTCCCCCAGACCTGAGGTCAGCAATGTGGCCCCCGCCTGTAGGTCCCAAGTGACAGACTCAGTCAGGACTTGGAATCAAGAGGTGCCCTCCATTCCCAACAACAGTCCCTTTCGTGGACATCAGGCTTCTCTGCCTCCCATGACCCAGAGCAGAAATGGTTCTGAAACACTGAACAGGCAAATCAGTAAGCCAGTGTTTAAAACAGGCACCATGAGGGGCAAAGTGACAGGCATCTGGGCAAACATGGCCAACAGACACTGCCTGGCTTGCAGTGTGTGTTAAGATTGGAAAAGTTCGGGCGCCTGGGTGGCTCAGTTGGTTAAGCGACTGCCTTCGGCTCAGGTCATGATCCTGGAGTCCCGGGATCGAGTCCCGCATCCGGCTCCCTGCTCAGCGGGGGGTCTGCTTCTCCTTCTGCCCTCTTCCCTCTTGTGCTCTCTGTCTCTCATTCTCTCCCTCTCAAATAAATAAATAAAATCTTTAAAAAAAAAAAAAAGATTGGAAAAGTTCACATGTAAATCTTGACATCCAAGTTCTCTTGAAATGTCGAATGATCAGACAACAGTGGGTTTGCCTTCCCAAGTAGAATCTGAGACAGGCCACTCTACTCAGAGAGGGCAAGCCCCCTCCTGGGTTGCCTCTCAGGGGCCCTGGACCCAACAGCCTACCGTTAACTTGCACCACCTCCTGACAGCCATACAACACAAGTCTCCGAGCCCTGTCCTAAATATTACAAGTTTTATTATCTCCCACTATACTGAATGGAAAATCAAGCAGCACAGATTTAGAGTAAGTAAACATTAAGGGTTTTAAGATTTATATTTTCACCTCTCTTACAACAGTACCCAAACCCTAACACAGAAGCACCTGCTGAGGATAAGGGGGGCAGCAGGGAAGGAGAGGGTAAAGGAATAACGGCAGTCCACGGAGAATGAGCAGAAGCACGCCACAGGCCTGACACACCCCATCGTGGGGCCCACGCTCACTCTCATGACCACAGTCCAACCACAGGGCAGGACAAAGGCCTCAAACGTCTTCATTCCGTGCATGACGGCTTTGACCAAACACGGAGACTTAATGACACACACAAACCTGAACTTCAGACTCCGAGTCCCATCTGTAGGGCTGCTCTCCCACCTCCCTACAAGAAAGTGAAAAGAACTCAATTTCCTTTTAGCAGTTCCAGAGAAAACGGAATCAAGAAGGGTGAATTCAACTTGCCCAAATAGATGTGAGGAAGCAGGCTGAGCAATCCAGGGCCCAGGCCTACCTAAAACACAACTTCAACAAAAGCAAACCTCAAGCTCACTGCAATTGCAGAGGCTGGTCACTTGTTCTATTATCTTTCATGTTGTCTGTCCTAACACAAATTATGAAACCAAAAAAGAGGAAGTACCTTTTAAAGAAGTGAGACCTGTTTCTGAATCCAAATCACACCACTTTATACAACTCCTAGTCAGAAAATTATAGTTACATCATATTGGTTCTTCCAATATAACACAACTAATAATTATTGCTATTTATCATTCACATTTTTAAATATATTTATAGACTGCTTTATAATTCCCAAAGTCCTCCTGTCCCTTAGGGATAGGTAAGTTGGCATAGAGCATTTGCCCTAACAAATGAAGGCACTAAGGCACAGAGCCTGCAAGTAAGTTGCTCAAGGTCACACAGCTGATCATAGTTAATACAACTCCACAGCTCATCCATGAATTCCAGATATATATATATATATAAAGTGACTTGGTAGTCAAGAAAATAGTAGGCCCTGATGAAGAATAAACACAAAGATGAAACTCTGTCATTTGCCTGCTTATACATACACACCGTGGTATACACACACACACAGATGCCAAAGCCATATTGTAAAACTTACAATATAATGTTCAATAAAAATTAATTTAATGTTAAATATTTTAATGTTTAAAAATTATCCTAATGTTAAATTAACTGGATTTGCCTAGTTATTCTTTCTGACAGATTAAGAAAAGGTGACCAGTCTGAATTACAGGTTTAAAATAAAATTTTTGTCTTACTCATAAAAGAGCACTGTAACCACAAAGCAACCACTCACATCAACTCTTTCCATAGTTGAGTCAACATTCAATATAATTACTCCTAAACGGGCAACACTGACGCTCCTTCCAACGAAGCATGTCACGAGAACATCTGGGACTCTCAGTCCTGAGTACATGTCACCCTCTAGTGGCATCCCCCTCCCCATATCCTGGGTGAATTCCCTCATTGGAGACAACTGTGCTTTAGAGAGCTTATAGTGTGATTTTATTCACAAATACAAAACTTGGGGGGCACCTGGGTGGCTCAGTTGTTAAGCGTCTGCCTTCGGCTCAGGTCATGGTCCCAGGGTCCTGGGATCGAGCCCCTCATCGGGCTTCCTGCTTCTCCCTCTCTCACTGAGTCTCCGTCAAATAAATAAAATCTTAAAAAAAAAAAAAAAAACTTGGGGCGCCTGGGTGGCTCAGCTGGTTAAGCATCTGACTCAATCTCAGTTCAGGTCTTGATCTCAGGGACGTGAGTTCAAGCCTTGAGTTGGGCTCCATGCTGGGCGTGGAGCCTACTTAAATATATATATATATATATGTATATATAATTTAGGTAATTATATATACATAGATATAAAACTTAATTTCTGCCCTTGATATGACACTCATCATTTCCTCTTAAGAGTGCTAGTGAATAACTTAAGTCTCTGTGGGTGAATGGGGCATGTAATTGTGAAGTTGGGCAGTTCATTCACTAGAAAGGTCTATAGTGAGGCTAACCACAAAACTCAAGTGGTTGTGGTGCACTTGCTAAAACACTCAAAAGAGAACAACACAATCTTTACTCAACACTTGGTGCAAGAAGCTTAGGAGTCCAAAAGGACATCTTGAATTTTAGGTATCTCAACTTTCCTTCCAGGTATCTCACTTCAGTATATTAAAACCTTAGTAGTCTTGCAACCTTTTATCTAAGAAAGTCTTTATTACAAATGGACACCATAAAAGAACACAGTAACACCTTGTGTTAATTAGCAGAGAATTGTGCAGACTTATAATCAGTGTACTCTACGGAAGTACCAAAGCATTGCTGAGACTTCACAATGAATGAGAAAATATGCTCAGTCTGTCCCTCACTCAATATTCTGACATTCTACTTGGCAGCAGTGAACTTGACACCTTATCTTTGAGAAGCAGGGTGGCCACACAAATTATTCCAGAAAGAGGAATAACCTACAACAGGATCACATCAGGTTCACATCAGGGTGGGATAAGGAAAGGTTTTGGGTTACTGTTTCTGTTGTTTAATCTCTCCTTTCCCCATATGCATTCCCAAAGGCTAGTACGAAAATCAAAGATAATAGTAATCAGTCAACTAAGGTGTTCCTTGAAGGCAGGTACCATGTCTTAAAACTTCTTCATTCTTGGTGCCTAACACAACCTGGCTATACCATGGGTTTTTGCTTCCCATTGCAAAAAGAAGACAAACTTGTTCATTGTCCCAAAATAAGGTTGAGGGAAAAAAAATTGAAAAACCTTTGTTGATAGGGCAGTTCAATAATGAAACAATCTAATCCAAGAAAGCATAAGATAATAATTCTCTGTGAGTTAATTTGGTCAGGCCATGGTACCCAGTATTTTTGGGCAAATTCCAGTCTAGATGTTGCCGTGAAGGTATTTTTTTAAATGTGGATAACATTTAAATCAGTAAACTTTAAGTAAAGCAGATTATCCTCCATAATGTGGGTGGGCCTCACCCAATTTGTTTAAGGCCGTAAGAGAAAAGACAGGTCTCCGAGGAAGGAGTTCTGCTTCCAGATGGACTTCAGACTCAAGACTATGACATCAACTGTTCCCAGGGCCCGCAGGTTGCTGGCCTGCCCTGCACATTTCAGATTTGCCTGCCCTCATAATCATGTGAGCCAATTCCCTAAAATAAATACTTCTTTCCCACTTACATATATGTGTGTATACACACACACACACACACACATTTATATATATTTCCCCTTCCCCATACTGGTTCTGTTTCTCTGGAGAATCCTAATACGTTGAATACAGATTTTCCAAAGACCGTGACCACAATATTCATTCACTGCTCTAATATTAAAATAGACTTCCCCCTAAGTCAAAGCCAAACCATTATATAAAGTCCAATCACTGGATGAAGGATATTCCGCTAGAACTAAAATGATGGGGGGGGGGGGGGATGATGATAAAAAGTCCAAGAAAAATCTTTCCAACAAATACACCTAGGTTGATCAGCCCAAACATTTCATTTTAATAATCTGGGGGCATTTTAGTCCAACAACAAAATCATTTCAGGGTGACACCTTCATAATCTCTTACACTTCATAGAAAAGGCTTTGCCAGAATTTACTGAATGAAAAAAAAAATATGCTGAGAAAATTTAAATGAAAAGAAGAAAAATATGAACTACCTCTTGGTTATCTTTGTTTTGGTTTGCCCAGAAAATCTTATGATAAAGCGTCTCCATTGAATTGCTGGAGTCAGTCCGGTCAAAACAATGTCGATCCAACACTTCCAACGTGTGCAACACCCGACTGATGGTCACCCCTGGATGTGGAAATTAAGCAACTGTCAAGAGGTCAAATAAAGCCACAACAGCGTAGTACAAAATCATCACTAGGCAGGGCAAAAGGGATTTTAAGAAAGCATCGTTCTGGGGCGCCTGGGTGGCTCAGTCGTTAAGCGTCTGCCTTCAGCTCAGGTCATGATCCCAGGGTTCTGGGATCGAGCCTGCATCAGGCTCCCTGCTCCACGGGAGGCCTACTTCTCCCTCTCCCACTCCCCCTGCTTGTGTTCCCTCTTTCGCTGTGTTTCTCTCTGTCAAATAAATAAAATCTTTAAAAAGAAAAAAAAAGAAAGCATCATTCTCGGCATGTAAGAATTCCCAATGAAACCAAACCTGACATTCTCGACAGCCGGGAGCTACAGGGCACGAAATGAAGAATGCCCTCAGAAATCAGAAGGTGGCTCCGCTAAAAAGCATCCTTACTCACTATGTGGACGGATAGTTAAGAATCAGAAATGCAGCACCAAGTCCAACATTCAAAAGCACCCCTTCTTCTCTCGTGTTCTGTACCTGCTGTTGATTCTTGGCACTTGTCAAAGGACCACCGAACCTCCACTGCACGGCCTCTTTGTTTGATCTGCTGTTCCGCCTCGTAAATCCTGGCCCGAACCTGAAAGATAAGCACTTCCACTTAACTTGTGCTTGGAGAGCCACAGTGGCTGTCTAAATCAGGTCAGGTTTCTCACATGAGCACAGCAGCGTCCTACAGTCCATCTCGACTACATCATAGCAAATTTAGCCTGTTGTCCAATAAGTGCCCTTTAAAATTTACAATTGGTGGTTCAATGCCAGTTTTCAATAACAAATGCTCACCAAAAAAAAAAAAAAAAGTTTGCTTTACAAGTGAAAATTTTTTTAGGATATCATATGGAAAGGTGAAAGCTCTAAAGTATCATTTTTGAGCCATTCTTCTATGTATGAAAACAACGAGGCATGTTTCATTAATTTAAGAAAAATGCTTGCCAAAAAAACAGGGATCTTATTCTCAACATTAGTCACGATCCTGTGGTTTAAGTTTCTTAAGTCTCTGAACCAAAAAAACCCAGCACTAATAAAACTAACTCATAAAAACATAGTTACTAAATATCACAGATGACCAACTAGGAGCGCTGTGGTCATGTATTAGAACCACCACCGTAACTACCCTCTGGGTGGCAGAACGCTCTGCAAGAACTGCCCAGCAAGAGGGAAAGAAGAAAGGGAGCAATGTGATGAACTTCTGTGGTTCAGAGAGGTGAAATACTTCGCCCAGGCCCCGCAGAGAGATGGGGAGCAGGGCTGGGAATGGTACCCAAGCACCTGAGATGCTGAAACCCACCTGGCCCACTATGCTGTGATGCCTCTCAAGAATGAACACACCCATCAAACCACCATAACAGGAAGTCTACCTGCTGATTGAAAGCCGTGTTCCCACCCGGCATGGGGAGGCTGGAGGGGGCCACCTGCAGCAGATCCAGGGGCGAGCCAGGGTTCGCGCTCTTATTGTCGTTTGTGGAATAATTCCACACCAAGGCACTTGGGCAACAGAGAGTGACAGTCTGGAAATGAAGCAGGAAAATCCAGATATTTAAAGGAATGAGAAAAGTGCAACAACTTAAAAGTAAAAATGATGCCTTGTCATAACGATATTATAGTTTCCTACCAGTGAGTTTAAAATATGGACTGCTGACCCCATTCTCAACTTTTCAAGTTCTAAGACAAAACTAAGAATTATTAATTTGAGGGACGCCTGGGTGGCTCAGTTGGTTAAGTGTCTGACTTCAGCTCAGGTCATGATCTCAGTATCCTAAGATCGAGCCCTGTGTCGGGCTCTGTGCTCCGCGGGGATTCAGCTTCTCCCTTTCCCTCTCCCCCTGCTTGTGTGCACTCTCTCTCTCAAATAAAATCTTTAAAAACAATTATTTTTTAAAGATTTTATTTATTTATTTGACAGAGAGAGCACGCACGCGAGTGAGCACAAGGGGCGGGGGGGGCAGAGGGAGAGGGAGAAGCAGGCTCCCCCAATGTGGGGCTCAATCCCAGGACCCTGGGATCATGACCTGAGCCAAAGGCAGATGCTTAATGGACTGAGCCACCTAGGCGCTCCCCAAAAAAGAATTATAAATAAAGGGAGGAGTACAGCTACCGAGAAATCAAGGAGTATTATAATTCATAAACTAACATTCCAACACAGAAAACCTAGGAAAGTTAATAAAAACACAGTAATCATCACTGAAAAATTGTCACTTAAAACAGTTTCTTCATTCAATTAGAAAAATGAGATGGAATTAGAATATGTCATTTCTAAAGTTATAAAATCTAAAAAGGAATTTTTTTTTTTTAATCTAAGAAATAATCTCTGAGATAACACAGGAAGTAGCTTCATAGATGCTGGATAGGCCGTAACCCTGGACCAGCGGGTGGCAAATTTTCTATAAAAAGCCAGACAGTAAATGCTTTAAGCTTTGCGTGTCACCTCTAATTTCTGTCACATATTCTTTTTTTGTTTGTTTTACTAACTCACTGAAAATATAAAATATATTCTTAGCTCCTGGGCTGGACTTGGCCTCCAGGTTGTGGTTTGTCTATCCCTATCTTAGACCCTTGAAGACATTTTTTACTCAACCAGCTTGCATGAAGCACTTTCTAGGACCGCCTCACTCACAGGTCACAGCAACCCCATCAGGGAGGTAGTGCTATTCTCCAATTGTACCAAAGAGGAACATGAGCCACAGAGGAAATTTAGTAACCAGCCAAACTGATTTCAGCACACATGCTTGGAACCACTATGCTAACCCTGCTGCCTCCTAAATGGAGACGAAATATTATGGCTCCAGCGTAATTAAGTCTTTACTCTGTACTGTGCGCTGCCCTGGAAGCTTTCAGTCATCGCAACCCGAACTCTGTGTGGTAATGAAGTAGGAACTGTCACCATTCCCCTCACGCCCAAGAAACAGAGGCTCAAGGTTCGAGTTAGTCAGTGGCAGAGGAGAGGCTAAAGTCAGGTCTGCAATGATTCTTTAAAAAACAGGTCTTAACCATCATGCTGTGGTGCCACTTGACAACAGACTGTGAGCTTATTAGAGAGGGAATGCAGTATTTCCTTTTCTCTAAAATGCAAAATTAAGTATTAAGAAAACTAGATTCTGAGGTGTAGGGGACGTCTGGTGGAAAGCAGATGGCAGATGTGAGGAATGTCAAATCCCTGAGCCCCACCAATGTATCTGCCTCCACTGGTCCACATCCCCAGCTCCCTCCTCCTGTGTGTGAGCGGGGCGGGGGGGGTCTCGTCTCCTGTCCATGATGGCACTCTTCCCAGTGTTCTGAATTCCAAAGCCTCCAATATCCAAGGTGCTGATCTCTCAAACAACCCGCTTCTCCTGTTCTCTCTACCTACTAGATTACCCTCGCCTCAGAAAACAAAACCTTTTAAAACTCTCCACTCGCCTAGCAGCAATCTCTCTCTTCCCTTCACAGACATGTTTCTCCAAAGAACAGGTAGCATTATTTCTCCCTATTCTTCATCGCTCCTCAACCCACCTCCATATGACTTCTCATCCACCACTCAACTGATCATCAGAGACCACAGTCTTCCCAAAGACAATCCAGCCATCTTCTTACCAGACTTCCCCAAACCGCTGGGCACTGCCCACTACTAACTCCAAAATTGGAAACTTCCCGCAGTACCTAGAGAAGCAGCTTAGCACGGCGGTGTAGACTCTGGATTCAGACTTCTGGGTGTGAACTCCAACTTTGCCACTTGCTTGCTGTGTGACCTACACCATTTCATCATTAATGCTGCAGCAATAATTCTGGTTCCAATCCCACAGGATGGTTCTGAGAACTAAATGACTTAATACAGGTTGCAATTTACAACAGTGCTTAGAACACAATAAATGCTATTACTAGGATTGTAACAGAATCATAACAATCCCGGGGCGCCTGGGTGGCTCAGTCAGTTAAGCGTCTGCCTTTGGCTCAGAGCACGATTCCAGAGTCCTGGGACTGAGCCCCATGTTGAGCCCTCTGCTCAGTGGGGAGTCTGCTTCTCCCTCTCCCTCTGCCCCTCCCCCATGCTCATGCTCTCTCTCTCAAATAAAAATCTTAAAAAAAAAAAAAAAAAGAATCCTAATAATCCTATTTTTATTCTCACTGTCCCTGTCTCTATAACAGCACTCTCCACTTTCTGTTCTCTCCAGTCTGGCCACACTTTCATGGCCACCTCCATGGACTTCCCTTCTGCCACCTCTCAGCCACTCAGGCCCCCCGGGGTCCACAGGTCGCGTCTCACTGCTAACTCTTTGAGTAATCTCACCCCCTCTGGAGGTTTGGGTGAACCTAGTGACCCTGAGTGATTCAAATCCACACATCTGGCCGGTTGTCTCCTCAACTTCAGAATGAGACATGTAATAACCTCTTAAACATATCCATTTAGTGACCTAAGGGATAAAATAACTCAACATAGTCCAAACACGAACTTACCTAGACTCTCCCAAACTGACTTCCTGGCCTTGTCTCTCTCTCCACTCCCCCACCTCACCACTCCCACAATTCTTCCCTCTACTGTGGCCAAAACAATCTAACTAAACCACACAACCGACCATGTCATTTCCCTGCCTAAAACCCTGCAATGGCATCCCAATCATAAGACACATAGGAAATCTTCTATGCCCTGACCCTTCAACAGGCTTTATGCTTTATGTTCCATTAATACCAACAGGCACACACAATGACTAATAGACCTTCTGGCCCTTTTCTCACGCTGTTCCCTCAACCAACCGTTTTTAGCACCTTTTATATAAAAAAAAAACCCTCCTATTATAATAAGCACTAGTCAGGGCCACTTCCTTCAGAAAGCCTCTCTGAATTCTGGGTTGAACTGAAGTTCCGCTGCTCAGCTCCCTTAGTTCCCTGTGCATCTTCCATCAGCCTTTGCCAACGGTATACGGACACTGTCCATTTACAAGCCTGTCTTCCCCACAAGACAATAAACGCTACCAGAGTGAAGAGTATGTCTTTATGGCCAGCCCTGCCCCGAAGCCGAAGGACACAGTAAGAGCCCAAGAAACGTGACCTGAACATAAGCTGGGAGCTCCTCGAGGACAGGGCTGGATCTCATTCCTGACAGTATCAGCCCAGTGGCCTACATGCTACTGGACACTCAAGGACCGCACAAGCAGTGATGCTTGGCAGAGGAACAGAGCCTGATAAGTTACCTGGATTTTAAAGAAACAGAGAAGGATGGCAACCAACTAAGATGCGGGCTGTGGAAGCTACGGAACGCTGCATGGAGGAACAATGGAGCTCTTTCTAGAAGAGAAGTGATATAGCAGACTTATTCTCTGGGTTCCCTGAGGGTTTTATCATTGAACTGCTGCATGGCATACTGAAGGACGACTACAGTAACTTTCTTCTACACAGAAGTAACAGATCTTCCACAGAGAAATAAAAACATGAGATGTCACTTTGTCAATTACTTGGGTGAGGAAGAAACCGGAGTGTGATGTGAAAGTTGAAGGTGCGATTCTCAACTCCGTTGTTTCCTACACTGAATTGTAACAGAAAATAGCAAGGGCCAGGGACTTACCTGCAGCATACAACTAAGTCCATAAACCAGGGGGCCATGCTGTGCACAGGACAGGAAGTCTGAGAAGGCCAGCTGCACGGGACTCATGACGGGGCCAGGGGGTCCAGGGCTGGGGGCCCCGATGCTTGAGTTGTTTGGTCCTATCATCATGTGGGGCGAGTGCACAGCAAGGAGGCTGGGACTATCGCTCAGCAGCAAGGCAAGACGCCGGGCACAAAAGTAGGCAAGACGACGAGACAGGTAAGCCGACTGAACAAACTCGTCCGAATACTGAGAAGCACAAGGACACCAGACTTCAGTCACGTCTGATGCTAGTCAGTGAAACAACTATTTTAACACAGACTTTTTTCATTAAGGGAAAAAAAAAAAAACCCTTCAAAAGTACTGTAGAGACCAGTGCCATCCAACAGAAACAATGCAATCCACATACTTAAAGTTTTCTAATAGCCATTAAAAAAAATAACAGGCAAGATTAAAAAGAGTAATGTCTTTTCTCTAGCCCATTATATCCAAAATGCTATCATTTCAACAGGTGATCAACACAAAAAGATTTAATGAGATATTATACACTTTTTTTCTGAACTAAAGCTGAAATCTGGTGTGCATTTTACACTAAGAGCACATCTCATATTGCACTTGTCACATTTTAAGGGCTCAAAAGCCACATCTGGCCGGTGGTTACTCCAACGACAGCATGGGCACAGACTGTCACAGGGAGGATACACAGGACACTAGCGCAATGTAGTCCCCAGGGGGGGCACTAGGGAGAGGAAGAGAATCACTTTTCACTACATACTCTTGCATAGCGCTTCAATTATCAAGTTCATGTACTAGCGTTTCAAGAAAACTTTCTTTTTTCTAAATAAATTTTCTCCAAATAATCCAAATTTTAACAGATCTTAGAGCAATCATTAAAATAGGAAGCTCCCGGCCCCAGGGACTCAAAGAACATCAAAAAATACAGAAGACCCTCTAATCCTTAAAAAAGAGATTATTTGCTTTCACAGAAATCTGTGTGATTCAGGAAACAGTATTTAAAAATCTATCTGCTTAGCTCAGTGATGGGAGAAATCGGGGTGGGGGGGAAGGTGAGAATACTTTAGAAAGACAGGTGGTTAAAAACTATGAACATGGACAACATAAATAATTGGCTTTTGATCACTTCATGTGTTCTAGCATCAAGACATCCTTCCCTTCCATTCCAAAAAGAATTTTTTTCCTCTTCCCCATCCACATACTTAGTCATCCTTATCAGACTCACTTCTTGCCCATAAAAATCAGTGGGCTCAGGGTCACACATACTATACCTGCAGCATTAGTGGTAATAAGAGTTTAAGAAGATCATCATCCATTGGTCTGATCTTTTCTAAAACATCCAAGATCCATGTCAAATATTCATGTTTCTCTAGCATTCCTTCCTTCAATGAACAAAGAAAAGTTACACTGATAACGTTAAAGCAAAACCAATTAACATTCAAAAGAGAGCACTATTACTCTTAACTCTTATGCTTAAGTATAATTTTACTATTATTATTTTTGTTGTTGTAGTAAAAATACAGTCTCCTGGATCACAGTCCAAATTCTAAACAAAACAAAGACCCAGTGTGATTCTGTGTGGTCGGTTTGGGGTGAGTATTTTTGTTGTTTTTGCTTTTTTTGGTAATCTGCTTCATTCTAAACTGAAAAAAATTAATTCCTATGAGAAAGGAAATTCAGAAGCTTTCAGACTCCCAGGGCATGTCGAGCGCCTGGCTAGATTTCAGGGGTGTATGAACTTATACTCACAGGAGAAAACTTGTCCAATGGTGCTAATTATGAAGAACAAAAGCCCCCATCATACCAGCATCTCAGCAAGCAGCTGAAAATCCCATCATATCTAATGCTCTCCTAATAACCCCTGCCTCTATCCTAAAATGAATTTCAGACACTATAACCCAGGTATAAAATATAACCTTAAAAATCAATATAATGTCCTAATTAACCATTAACATAAAGAAATGAAAAAAATTTATTAGAAAATAATGTACACATATTCCAACATAACTACACTAAAAGTAACAACACACCTCAAGTTTCCAAAATGCCTCACAGGGGTGGCATAGCCCCTCTTAACATAAGCGCCATTAACATTTTCATCTATTACCTTCATATAAACACACATGCATTCATATAAATACACAATTCTTCTATGACAGTCTACGCATATATGTATTTAATGTCATGTTCTAGTTTTGTATTATGATTCACATCATGAAAGAATCTTCAAAACAGAAACAAAAAGCTATGTTTTCTGGGAAAGACACATATTTTTATGGTCACTGTGGCAACAAGCTCAGTAGTAAATATGAACTCCTACTTTATTCCTAGCAACATTTTCATACCTATTTATCACCAGTGCTCCACTATCATGATTATCAACAATTTGTGTGAAAATATACTGATAAATTATAGCTTCAGTATTTAAAAGATTACAGTGTCACCACACTGACGTGATATCAAAGGTATCCACTTGTTGCTCATTTCTAATTTTTAAAAAGCTTAAAATCAAAGAGTTAAAAGGTTAGTCACAGAAAAAGTTCAATTTAAAATTTTAAGACCTGTGATGTGAACTTTAATAAAGAAATGAAAAAAATGGAATTTTGTATTTAAGGCAGAAGAGATGGCAAATGTAAGGTTCAAAAAAAATAAATCTTTCTAAACATGACTTTCAATGGCTACGTCATATCCATCCTCAAGATGTTTTTGTGTATTTACCCATACCCTTATTTCTGCACAATTTCCTCATGTTTCAGAATATGGCCAATTAAAATATAATAAACTTTTAAATTTAAACATTAATGTCCCAATTAAATTCATCTGTTTAGGACCCAACTGCCTCCTATAAAGGAGATACGGATTTCAGTGTTCCCAATACATAAAGTAATCCTTCCAAAAATATTAAGCATGTTGAGAGACCCTTTTTTCAAAGATGTGGACTAAATCCTCAGCTCAATAAAAGTCATAAAGGCTCAGAGAAGGTACCAAGGTAGTCCTCTGCTAAATGGAACTAGGATTTATAAGATGGTTTTTAACTGACTTAAAACTAACAATGCTACCTCCCAGAGAACCGGGCTTACTTTAAACTCTTAGAAAAAGTCACTTACAACCTGGAAATTATAAAGTTCTAAGGAGAAAATTTTGAAACTACACATCCTTTTTACCCCCTTCCTCTCTGAACAAGATAGCAGGTAGTGAAAGTCTCTGCTAGTCATACAACTTCAACACATTTCTCCCTCCTTGCTAGGAAGAGGCAAATAATAGCACAAGCGCCCTCTTCTGGTCAATATGATTTACATCAGCTTGTCCGAAGAGCATTCAGGGCTTGCTCCGTGCCCTTACTCATCCTCCCAACTATATTTTAAACTGTCCGTGAGCCAAATTAAGACGACCCTTCTATGGAGAAACTAAGCCCTAATGGAGATCGAGGAGATAGGAAGCACCAACACAAATATTTTTTTGAATACTCGTATCCAAATTTTTCAAAATAAGAGGTTTGGAAGGGATATTTAATAGAGAAATTACCAAAAAATTAACAGCATCAAAAGAGCTAAGATCATTGAAAGCTGGAGGTCAATATATAGAAGCAGTGGCTGTCACCTCGAGGCAAAGGTGGTACCATGAATACAACTCAAGGTGAGAAATGTCAGACTGCTTTCTCTGAATGTATTTGGTTCATATAAAGATAGCGCTTAAACTGTAAGGACTTCGCTCTCTTCTTAAAAGCATGCTGTATGTAGGGCCTTGAGGCTCTTGAGAAGGTTACCTGGAACATGTGAAAGGCCAGCTTCTCGTTGTACTCCCACTGCTTCATGGCCTGCTCCACATCCGGTGGCACCGGGACAGGACCATCCCCCGCGCTGGAAGCCACGTGGTAGAAGTCAGAAATCTTGGCCAGCTGCTCTCGGAGATATCTGGTAGATATTTGTGTCCACTCTGCATTAAAAACAAACAAACCTAAATTTCTAGACATGATGAATATAAGAATTAACGTTTTCTCCCCGCCTTCTGATTAGCTTAAGGATGTACATATAAAACAAACATCTATTATAGAAAAGTGGTTTTGGCATGTGCAAGCATTGTACAAAAAAGCACACCCACCCCAGTAAGGCAACGTGGACGGCCCTCCACCCCCCACAGGAATGTTGGCCAGCTCTTGGGTGGAGAAGGCAGCTCTCCCCATGTGTCTCTGTGACTCTTAACGAAGGAGTAGAGATGCCTGCACTTGAGTTATGTGCATTTCGTGATGTTCCACGTTATGCTAACAACAGCATAAAAAATTTCAAAGCCACAAGCAGGAAACAGAGGAGGTGAGCACCTCAAAAATTTCAATTCTACTCCAAAGCAATTCAAAATCCTCCAAATGCATCTCTCCAAGTTGGATTTAAAACATGCCTAATTAAGATTTGTTCCATTTTTGTCCGTCTGTAAGAGGAGTGGCATTCACCACGGGCTGGCCCATGACAGCATCCTGACCTGCACTCCCCCTCCCCACACCCGCTAAAACACCAGCACAGCTGCCTCTTGGACAACCATCTGGACCTTCAATTATTCTACCAACACATGATACCTCAGAACTCAATCAGAAAGAGTAGTGAGGAACAAAAGGTAGGAGACTGGAAAGGAAATAGAAAAGTACCATTACAAAAAAAAAAAAATCACTAAAAATATTCAAAAATGTCTGCCAGAGGGGCACAAATTAAATCAGTGTGTTGCCTTTGGCAACCATGAGGGATGTGATGCCAACTTTAGCCCATTCTGTGGATAAAAATGTAATAATTGCATGCTCACAGCCAAATTTCCCCAAGGATTAGCGAAACAGCATTTCAGAAGAAACCACCCTACTGAAACATTACCACACAATGCTATTTTCCCATTATCCTGGCAACTGGCTCTCCCACCTTATTTTTAAAGGAACCAATTTTGACAAAAGTAAGAGCAAAAACCTAACATCTGTTGGGGATTCAGGGTTTTGTTTTTATTTTTTAAGCACTCTTAAAAGTACTTGACAACATTACCCAGAGAGAACTACCGTTAAGTCTTGGTCTGAACCACTTACTCCTCACTGTGTCTTTTTTAAAATCAAAATTCAAATGCACATGTTAAACTCTAGTAACAAGCCAGTGCAAAAAGATGAACAGATACTAGGTCAACATTCTGTTCCTAATATTGTTCTTCAGAAAGCACCACCAATAACAGATATTATCATTAAAATTAATCTATCGCCATTAAAAACATGACAGTAAATTATCAGTGTCATCATCTTCTGGTGCCCACTTTATGGACTAATAGTCTCATGACACTTGTTTAACAAAACAAAATGCCAACCATCAGATGGGACAAGTTTAGCTTAGCTATAATAAGCAAAAACAAAAATAACAAGGATCCAAATCCTAGCTTTTGTGTGCCAAGCCTTGCTATTAACTCACTCTCAGTATGGTACCATCCTCAATACCGCACAGAATATTTTAGCCTCAGGAGCTAAAAATAACACACACATTCACACACCCCTACTTTGTCCAGGGTATATTTTCTTAAGATTGTTTCTTAAAATATGGAAGAAATATATGTTCACTACAGAAAATGTACAATGCAGATATGAAAAGAAAAACATCTGTAATCTCCTCACTCATAATTAAATATTTTAATATTTGTCTTTTCAGGTTTTTTTTTCCTTTATATGTGCTGGAATGTTTATATAAACATATGCATTTCTTTAAAAAAATATGCTGAATAGGACATTCCACAATCTGAATGCCTTTGGGGATTCAAATGGAATGCAAATGTAGCCCTCTTAGTAGTGTGTTTTAATTCTAACTGGCATTAAATTATATCAATCAGGGAGATTCAGAGGTCTGGGACATAAGACAGTCTAGAGAGGATTAGTTTGAAAAATTAGGATGCACACAAAATTTTTATTAAAAATTAAAAACAGAGGGGCACCTGGGTGGCTCAGTCAGTTAAGCGTCTGCCTTCGGCTCAGGTCATGATCCCAGGGTCCTGGGATCAAGCTCCGCATCAAGTTCCCTGCTCTGCGGGAAGCCTGTTTCTCCCTTCTCCCACTCCCCCTGCTTGTGTTCCCTCTCTCGCTATGTCTCTGTCAAATAAATAAATCTTTTAAAAAAATTAAAAACAGAAAATTGCAAATGGCCACCAGTACTCTACCCCTTGATTATTTGGATTCACTGACCACCCCCCCACCCACCCCCCCACCCCCGCTTAGTTACGGCTGAGAATGAAGCTGAGCCCTGGGGACAGCAGTGGCAGGACCCAGGGGAGTTTCAGCCAGTCGCTTCAGCCCCTCTCGCCAGATCCTGATTTAACTGGTCTGGAGCAAGGGGCCCAGTTTCAGGTGATGAAAAGAAAAGAGGAATCATAGGGAAGATGGTGGGGATGAGGGGAATATTCAAAGGTGGAAAAAATGCAGACCATGATCAAGGAGGCCACTCTGCAGGTGGCGCCGCTCTACATTCAAGCAGCTCTGAGGATACAGCCACATCATTTGTAGTTCATTGATACTGAGAACTTCAGGGCCATGAAGGCAGATGACCAGATAATTTATGCACATAAACATGACTGAGAGTGGCGTCAGGGGGCCAGGACTGAAAAGAATGACTGGTCCCTTTGACAAAACTCCCCCTAGCTCCCTGAATCCTCTGGTCACTACTGCCTAACCCCCCAAGACAGAAGGGGTTTCAGACTTCATGCAGCTCAATCTAGCACTGTCTAGATCCAGGCACAGCAGGCTTATGCAAGGCCCCACAGCTAGACCTGAAGTACACCACCCGGTGTGAGATGCCCCACTCTAGTACATGAAAACACATAAATCGATAAACACATAAAGGTGAGAACAGAGATGTGCCAAGTTACATTAAAGATGATCCTCCTGGGCCTAGAATACCTGCAGTATTAAAAAGAAAACTGGGAGGAGCCCAGTAGGGAAGTAACATCCACCCTGGGGGCAAACACAGAGCATGCCAAGTGCAGTGGGGCTCAAGGAGAAGGTACCCTGGCCAGGAGACGTGAGTAGAGAACAACACAGGGCTGCATTTAGTGATTTTGGTAGAATGAACTTCGGAATAGGATGGCCCTGGTGCAAATTCTCATTCTGCTACTCGGCTGTGTGATGTGAAAAATGGTGTCTAACTTCTGCTAAGTTTCAATTTCCTCCTCTGCAATAGGAATCTCTCTCTCTCTCTCTCTCTCTCTCTCACACACACACACACACACACACAGAGTTACTGTAAGGATGAGTTACTTAGCATGATGCATGCAATGCAGAAACTGATCAACATGTGGTAGCTATCATCACCACATGATCGGGATGAAGAGTTTTTTGAAAACTCTCCCGTTCGATCTTGACTGTCAGAGGACAGCGCCTGTTGTCACTGATCTTAGACCCTGCCTCTGCTGCAGCGAGCTGCCAATGCCTAACATAATGCTCTGGATAAGTATTTATGAAATCAATCCACGTCAGTTTCATGATTCCAAAACCTTCAATGGATCTGCAATCCTTCATGAATTAAGGCCAAATTCCTTAGTTAGGACTTAAAATCATTTCAAATACTACCTACCATTAAGTAGCTACGGTTGCTTTCTCTCCCTACAGTTGCTGCTCTCTCTTTCTCGGGCCTATAATGCTCTTTATCTACCATACCTTCTCTACTCGCCTGTGTTCACCTGTGAGCATTTTTCTGGACCCAATTCAAATGTCAAATCGAATATGTAGCCTTCTTTGGTCTCTGGACACCAACCCACCACCTAAAGGGGCTCTCCCTCGGATATATCACAATTGCCTCTTTCAACCTCTCTTTCATCTCCATAAAACTATGCCTTACATAGCCAACATCTAAGTATTGGCTTGAATCAATACACTGTAAGATGCTCCCAAAATAACCACTAAATCAAGTCACTCCCCAATTACTCTGCCTCTCAAATCTTCCTACAAACATCTTTGCTTTCTAGTTTAAACTCATCACTGCACACCCAGCTTTCAAACACCATCTAGGAAATGCCGAATTCCCTCTCTAGCATGCTCTGTCTTTATTATAGCCAATGCAACTAGAAGCACTGCTAGTCAATGCACTACAAAGGCCTGTGCAAAGAGTGAACTTTCAATTCTCTTTAATAAACTTCCAATAAATATATATGTGTGTCCTTTAATTTTGTGAGGCTCATTTTCCCAGCCAAAGTCTTTCCTCTGATATCAAAGCAAGCGGGAACTCACTCTGTAAAATAAATCCAATAGAGATTGTTTAAAAACTTCCACCAGTCCCAGAGAGTTAGGTGCACATTTTTAAGGTGATCCACTTGATAAAGAACTTTAGTCAAAGAGGACAGTCTCCTTGAAGGAGAAACCTATATCCTAGAAAATTCTTCCTAGGTACACCACTATAATAAAAATTCTTGCCTCTCCACAGGGAGAGCAGGCTGCTTCTCAGAACTGTAAGACGTAGAGGATTTCATCAGCCTGACTTTGGTGCAGACTGAAAGGTGGGGAGAAAACACTTCAGTGCATGCAAGACACAAGCACATTCCACCTCTAAATACACAGTAAGAATGATTGGAAGATTTTCCACCATTTTTCTCACTTTTTTTTTTGTTGTTGTTAAAATGCTTTCTTGATCAAAGGACGCCATCAATAAAGCGGAAAGACAACCTACAAATTGGAAGAAAATATTTGCAAATCATGCATCTGATAAGAGACCTGGATCTAGAATATATAAGGAACTATTACAACTTGATAATAAAAAATGGGCAAATGATCTGAACAGACATTTCTCCAAGAAGATAAACAAATGGCCAATAAGCAGATGAAAAGATGCTCAACATCATTAGCTACCAGGAAAATAGATACCACTAGGGCAGTTATAAACAAAAAGACAAATAGTAACAAGTAGCGTTGAGGATGTGTATGAACTAGAATCTTCATGTAT